CACTTGAACAAGCGCAACCTCGCAGAGGTCGAGACAGATGAGCACTCTGAAGAACTCCATGGTGATGTGATGGAAGAAGACTCTGATCATGAGATGACACCACCGAGACGACGACCACGCCTTCTACCACCGGGCGTGGAGCCTCCTCAGGCTTCAGAGACTGCCGTGGCACCGTCCTCCATGCCAATGGAACTTGGCACTTCATCGGCGGCACCGGCAGTACCCTCAGCTGAGGAGTACGAACCAACATCACCAGCACACACAGAACAACAAGACATAGCACCACCCGCGGCAGCAGCAGACACAAACGACACGGCAGCGGCAGATACACAAGCCCCAGGGCCACTACCACGGGTCCCTAGCTCGATTTCAATATCCGAGCCAAGCGAGGAGCCGCCTGCCATTTCGGCAGCTCCCACACCTCATGCACCACGACCATCAGCAAGCATGACCCAGGAGCGACCATCTGGTGACCGCCCAACTGTATGAGACAGTTGAAGGTGAAACTTTCCAGCAGAGACGTGCTTGGCTCAACAAGCAAGAAACTCTCAGCTTCGCACCATTCCGAAGCAGGCCTTCTCATCCAGACACAAGGCCCTATGATCCGGAGCACCGTCCACCTCGACCAGGTGATGAGCATGAGCTTGCTGGTCAAGCCTTCTACTTGGACGACTTGGACACCAAAATGTTGCCCAGCGGTTGGTTCATGGATGAACATGGATTCCTCCAACTACATGATCGCACCACCGACTACTGGGAGCTCAAAGCTGGCTGCTTGATCAGGCATCATGTTGTGCCCCGTCGTGGACGCCTACATCTTGAACATCTTCCCAAAGATTGCCCGGTCAGTTCTGACCAGTTGGACAGTGTGCGTGTGACTTTGATCCACCAAGGCGGAGGCAAGAGTCGTTTGACCACCGATAGCGGCTATGATGGCAGTCCTCCCCCTGGAGTTGAGCACGCTTTGGACTGGAGCAACCATTTTCCAGCTCAATGGCAACACTCGCAGAGAACTTGCTATGTACAGTGGGCATCACCAGTTCACAAGTGCAAAACAGCTAGGGAAGGACCAGAAGCTCGCCAAACTGAAGAAGTTCAAGAAGGAGAAGAATGCAGTGAACGAGCGTGCTCTGGGACCACAAGAGCGAGCGATGTTCAAGGAGGCCAAAGTGAAGGAGTTGAAGAGCTTCTTCGATCACCACGTGGTCTCGAAACCCTGGCGCGTCCCTGCGAGCGAAAGCTCGCCTGATCGTTCGTGGCTTTGCTGATCCAGACGCCTTAGCTGGAAGCATTGAGACATCAAGTCCTACCACAACTCGCTTGTCCCACTCCATGTTGCTGTCCTTGGCCACCACAATGCACTCCGCCTTCCTCCAAGGGCGAGAGCAGGATCGAAAGTTGTGGGCGAAATTGCCTTCAGAGGCCTTGGCTCTCTTGGGCGTTGATGAAGACACCCGAATGTTGCTTTTGAAGCCCTGTTATGGCCAGATTGATGCGCCCAGAGGCTGGTATCTAGAGGCAGTTGATCGTCTTCGCCGTGGAGGTCTCCGGCAACATGCCCTCGATCCCTGCGCATTTCTCATTTATGAGACTGATGATGACAACTACAATGAGCACGACCCTGTCCATCAACAAGTCAACTCGCTGGGATCTGAACGCCTGGCGGGTATGGTCATCATGACGACCTCTTGGGAGCCGGATGCCCGAACAGCCCTCGCTATGCTGCAGTGGTTGAACAGCTCAAGGAGAACTTCTCCTTCCGGAAGTGGAAAGAAGATCTTGAAGTTATGGAGTATTGTGGTTGTGAGCTGCAGCGCACTCCTGAAGGTGGAAGAAAACTGCACCAATTTAAGGCAAATACTTTGACAAGGTCAAGCCCATTGCCTATGACAAGAAGCTTCCTCTCCACCAGCCGCTCAACGAGCGGGAAGTGACACAGTTGAGGGGCCTACTTGGGTCTCTACAGTGGCCTGCAGTACAGACCTCACCACATCTACAGTGCAGCACATGGTTGATGGCCGCCCATGTCTCCAATGCCACTCTGCAAACCTTTCAGGACTGCAACAGGTTGTTGAAATTTGCAACATCGGCCTGGTCTACAACCACCTCGGCTCTGCAGAGAAGTTGCGTTTGTTGTGTTTCTTTGACGCTGGATTCTCCACTCGCCTCGACGGGTCATCGCAAGGTGGCTATGTGTTGATGATGGTCAATGAGGACCTCATGCATTCCGCCGAGGAGGGCGAATACCACATCTTGGATTGGCGCAGCTTCAAAACCCCGAGGGTGGCAAGGTCATCTTTGGGAGCTGAGGCACAAGCTGGCGGTCAGGCCAGCGACGCCGTCGACTTCGCCTGTCGGTTCTGGCACCACATACTAACGTCACGATGACTCTTTTGTGGCAGCCACTTATGAGCTAAAATTTGTCAACCTCTCAAGAGAGCCGGGCGGTGGGGAGACATGACTCAGCTGCACTTCTTGGAGCCCCATGTGCCCTTGAAGCAGTTGCTGGAGGTTCAGTGAGTCTGGAGATTTGCGCGATGAAGGAGCGCTTGTTGGAGCTTGGGGGAAACCTCAAGTGGATGAGCAGCGATCGTCAGATCGCAGATGGGTTGACTAAGGAGTCAGCTAGGGCCCTCTTTGCTGCTCGGCTGAAGCACCAAAAGTTGAAGCTCACCTGGGACCCCACCTACAAGGCGATGAAGAAAAAGACCAAAGATGAGAAGAACACGGCCTTGGCCGAAACCACCTCCCAGGTCTATCATCAGAAGCCTGATGACTTCATCCCCAGGTCCGAAGAGATCATGGATGATGAGTTCGGTGGCCCGGAGGAGTATGTCAACTTTGTACACTCCATGGACATGGTTCCGTATGTCCTTGCCACAAGCCATGTCGTGAAGAGCCGCATGAAGTATAACACCAAGGGTCGCTCGACGAATTTCATGTTTTGGACGATTTTCTTGTTTCTGCTGCAGTGCTGTCAAGCAGCACCTCTCGCGTGTTTGGTGGATGAACCACCGCCGCAGCCGCAGATGAGCGATGAGCTTTGGTTGGCCCTCTTTGCAGCAGCACCTTTGGCGATTGCGCTGATCGCCTTCCTGTTGGGCCGCTGGTCCAAAGGAGAAAAGAAGGTGAAAGAAGAAGTGGAGATTGAAGAGGAGAAGGTGGCCACCGCTGACGCCTTCACCCAGAAGGATGAGCCGATCGTTCATGAACGGCTTCGCGAAGCCTTGAAGAGCGAGCAGGCCAGGGTGCACGAGTACAAGATGGCAGCTCGCGAGTCCCGCCGAGCTGTGGACCTGGCCATGACGGAGATCCTCAACCTCCGCCCACTCGTGCAGGACGTTGCACCCATGTTCCGTCGCTTGATCACCGCGATGGATGATCACATGGACTAATGCCCGAACTGATAGCTAATAGTGGTGTTGAAGAAGAATGGCATCTGTTGGCACTTCGGGACCTGCCATTGTGCAGAGCAGATCACAGAGCCGAACCTGCTGCACCTCCGCAATTGTGCCTACTGCGGAGATCGAAGAAGCCCACTCGACTTTGTAAGTCCCTCGCAAGACAGTTGCCTAAGGGATGAGGTCACCACGTGGCTGGCAGACTACAACATCTGCCGGTCATGGTTTTCCGATCCGGATCGCAGGTGAGAACAACCACCTGTGTGAGTTGTACGCTGTACAACATGTTTTGAACATGTCACCAACCGTCCCGCTACCGCAGGGCGGGCTCATGAGTCTAAAACAGGCACCGGCCGTCGCGCGTTCCTCCTCAATTCGCTTCGCGGTGCGTCTTGGCCCTGACTACCTCCTTAGCGTTGACCACTTGGACCTCGACTTCACACCCTTCGCTACTTTGGACCTCGTTAGCCATTGATAGCTTCGCACTTTGCAAGAGGCGCAATGCCTGTTCAAGATTTCTTGGGGTCACACTCAAAACTTCGGATTTGTGTTAGCCTGTTAGCCTGCTTAGCTTTCGGAATGTCAGATGTGGGAAGGTAGAGGAAACCTGCAGATGTTACCACGTGTATGTATGGGTGATTCTGTGATGGTTTTGGCCGAGCGGATTTTGCAATTTTCCCCAGGCAGCTGATTGTGATGAAATTTGGCGAAGCGCGCTGGAGCTCAGCAAGCTGTGCCTTTGGCAGACGACTTTCACGTCGAAGCATATAATTGCTGTCTTCAATCGCTTGGTGACATTAAACAGCCTGCGATTCAGTAACAAGTGCCTTGCTAGTAGTAACAAGAAGCTATTAGAAACAAGAATTACGCAGCAACTCGTTAAGCAATCTTTCATCTTGTGTCAGAGGCGCAGGCGTATCCGTCCACATGGGTGTTGGTTCCCGCTGTTGTTCGACGCAAATGATGAGGAAAATCAACTCGAACTGTCTGAGCCAGAATCATTGTCTCCTTGATCAATGGGCATTTCTGGTGGAAGAAGAGCGTTGGAACGCTGCTTTGGGAAGATGATGCTGCACGAGCACGCCCATCCTTCTTTGTTTGCAACCAAGCCTTTTGTCGCAGCGTGGCAGTCACTTGACCAAGCAGCCCCTTGTGCAAGTGTATGAATGACATGCACACATTAATGCCAAGAGGAAAATGCTCAACAAGTGGCTGTCCGCAATCATCCATAGTCCTACGTGTTTATATATATATATACATATATACATAAATGTCACTACACTTTCTCACACACAAAACCTCTCATTTTTGGTTGCGCGAAGCCTGACAAGTCATGCGTGAGACGCCTACCAACTGTCCATTCAGCTGATAGCCTATCGGACCTCGGCCTTCTCACTGCCCCCAGGTATCTTTCCCAGGAGCTATTGCC